GGCGAGGCCGCGATGTTCCAGGGTAGGGCAGGATGGGCAGTAGGGATCTGCGGGTTTGTTTCCCCTTTTTCCTGCAAAATGTGATGGGAGAGGTGGATGGACTCTGGAAGCCGGCTGGGAAGTAGGGGCAGAATGGAGTACAAGTGATTAATTAATTAATTAAAAGCTGCAGGGGGTGGATTGTAGGGTTGGGATGGAGCTCCGGAGTCAGAGCTGGAGTCTGAGCCCAGCCGAGCTGGGACAGAATTCCAGCCTGGCTCCCTCTTGGCAGGGCTGGACAGGGTGCCCAAGCCCACCATAAACGAGATCCTGGCTAATGAGGAGCTCCGCAAGTTCAATGACTACGCCCAGGTGAGCACGGGGAGCAGGAGGCTCCAACCCATCGCTCCCTCCATGTCCTTTTGTCCCCCCATCCCTCCTTCCTCCCTTCCATCCCTCCTCCCATCCTCCATCACCACCCTCCTCTCCATCCACCTCCCCACTGCTCTCTCCCTCCTTCCATCCATTTCTCCCTCTGTCCAGTCTTCCATCCATCCCTCCCTCCATGGATCCCTCCATCCATCCATGGATCCCTCTATTCACCTCTCTGCCCACCCTTCTGTCCATCCCTCCCTCCAGTCACCTGCCCATCCTAATGTCCATCCCTCTGTCCTTTCCCTCCCTTTGTCCCTCCATCTCCCCATGCCCTCATCCCTCCATCTCCCCTTCCCACTGTCCATCTCCTTGTTCCTCCATCCCTTTCCCCCCACTTTGTCCTTCCATTTCTCCATCCTTTTGTCCCTCCATCTCTTCATCCAACGTCCCTCTCCTTGTCCCTCCCTCCCCTCCCTCTCCCGCTGACCCTCCTTCCCTGGTGGCTCCCAGAGCTGCATCAGCTGGAACCGGGACATCCTGAAGCGCTCGCTGGGCCTGGCCGAGCCGGACATCCTGGACATCCCACAGCTCTTCCAGAGCAACGCCGCCTCGGAGGCCGAGGCCTTCTTCCCGGACATGGTAGCAGCACCCCTGACCTCCCCAGGGTGGGATCGGGGTTGGGATTGGGGCTCTGATGTTCCCTGATGGGCTTGGGGTCAGGGCTGGGATGTTCCCTGATGGGATCAGGGCTGGGATGGCCCCAGGCTGGGACTGGGGTCGGGATGTAACCTGATGGGATTGAGCCGGGATGCTCCCAAGGGTGGGATCGGGCTGGGATCTCTCTGGGGCGGGATTTGGGCCAGGATGTCCCTTGGTGGGATTGGGGTTTCGCAGGGTGGGATTGAAGCTGGGATGTCTCTGGGTGGGATTGGGGCCAGGATGTTCCCCAGGGTGGGATGTTTCCTGATGGGATCAGGGCTGGGATATTCCCTGAGCTGGTATGGATGCTCCCTGGGGTGGGATGGGGGCTGGGATGTCCCCGGGCCATGATGTTTCCTGATGGGATTGGGGCCAGCATATCCTGGGGCCGGGATCTCCCCTGATGGGATAAAGGCCGGGATGTCCCCAGGCCAGGATGAGGCCAGGGGGAGGCTCCGTGGAGTGGGATCAGGGATGGGAAGTCCCTGGCCTGGGATGTCCCCTGATGGGATCGGGATGCTCCTGGCCGCCTGGGAATTCCATCCCAGCCCTTTCCCACCCTCACAGTGAAAGATTTATCCCAAACATCCCAATACAAATTGTCGCTCTTTAGTTTGAAGCCATTCCCTGTTTCCTGTCCCTCCATCCCTTGTCCCCAGTCCCTCTCCAGCTCTCCTGGAGCCCCTTCAGGCCCTGGAAGGGCTCTGAGCTCTCCCTGGGGCTTCTCCTCTCAGGGTGAACATTCCCAGCTCTCCCAGCCTTTCCTCCCAGCAGAGCTGCTCCATCCCTCTGATCCCCCTGGAGCCTCCTCCGGGCTCGCTCCAGCAGCTCCAGCTCCTCCCTGTGCTGCCCAGGGCTGGGGCAGCTCTGCAGGGGCAGAGTCCCCCCATCCCCTGCCCATTCTCATTCGAACTCCCATTTCCAGCTCATTCCCGTTCCCACCCCCATTCCCTGCTCACTCCCATTCCCATTCCCAATCCCTGCTCACTCTCATCCCATCCCCATCCCACCCTGGGATCCATCCCTGTCCGAGCGGGATCTGGACGGGGCCATGGCCGTGTCCGAGCTGTGCTGGAATTCCAGAGGGACGGAATCCGCAACCTTTCCCTGGAGCGATCCCACACAGGGACAGGAACCTCTGCTCCCAGAGCTGCATCCCCATGGGATTTCAGAGGGAAAATGAGACAGGAACCCCTGATCCCAGAGCCACATCCCTGAGGAATTCCAAAGGGAAAATGGGACAGAAACCCCCAATCCCAGAGCTGCATCCCCATGGGATTCCAGAGGGAAAATGGGACAGGAACCCCTGATCCCAGAGCTGTATGTCCATGGAATTCCAGAGGGAAAACAGAACAGAAACCCCTGATCCCAGAGCTGTGTCCCTAAAGGATTCAAGAGGGAAAACGGGACAGGAACTCCTGATCCCAGAGCTGTGTCCCCATGGAGTTCCAGAGGGAAAATGGGAGCGGGAATTGTTTGGGATGGAGCCTGGATTGGGATTTGGGAAAAGGCAGTGTCAGCTCCAGGGCCCTTCGGGAACAAAACAGGGAAATAAAAAATGAAATAAAAAATTCTAAAAATGAAAATTTCAAGTTTTGACTTGAATTAAAATAAAAGGATGGAAATCTTGAAAATTGAAAAATACAGAGTAAAAAAATAGAAATTAAATGTTACAAATGAAAAAATAAGGAAAAATAAGGAAAAGAAGGAAAAATTGAAGTTTAAATTTAAACATTAATGTTAAAAAATGAAGGAAAAATAAAAAAGCGAAGTTGAAAATAGAAAATGAAAAGTAGAATAAAAAAAGAAATAAAATTAAAAATGAGAGGGAAAATATAAAATAAATATTAAAGTTGAATTAAAATGGAAAATTAGAGTAAGAAATAGAAATAACTATTAAAATTGAATTAAAATGAAAATTAGAGTTAAAAATATGAAATAAATGTTAAAATTGAACTTGAATTAAAATATTAAAAGTAGAATTTGGAATTTAAGCAAGTAAAAATTAGGAATACCAATAAAAGATGAATTAAAATACAGAATTGAAAAAGGAGAAATATAAAGGAAAAGATGAAGTTCAAGTTTGGATTTACCAAATTAAAAAGCAGAAGTTAAAATGAAATTTTGATGGAATAAAATAAAAAATAAAAAGGAAAAAAATGAAGTTCAAAGTTGAATTCATAGTAAGAACCAAACAAAAACCTAAGAATTAAAATGAGGAGAGTGATGAAATAAAAGAGAAAACAATGAAAAATAAAATAAAAATAAAACTTGAAGAAAAAAAAGGTAAAACTAAAAGCTGAATATTGAAAAATGAAGAAGCAAAGATGCCAAAAATCAGGGACTGAACGTGGAAAATGGGAATTTTTAAACTCCAACCGATGGAAGCCAAGGGTGGCTCCGGGGAATACAAAAATCCCGGGATCCTACCCCGGCCCCTCCTGGAGCCTTCCTGAGCTGGGAATTCCTCCGGAATGTGGGAATGGCCCCTTGGGAATGCAGGAATGGCACCCCTGGATCCTTCCCGAACCTGGGAATTCTCCGGGAATGACCCCTTGGGAATGACCCCCAAGGATCCTTCTTGAGATGGGAATTCCCCAGGAATACAGGAATGACCCCTTGGGAATGCAGGAATGGCATTTCAGGATCTTTCCCGAGGTGGGAATTCCTCAGGAATGCAGGAATGGCCCCTCTGGATCCTTCCCAGACTCGAGAATTCCCCGGGAATGGCCCCCCTGGATCCTTCCTCAACTTGGAAATTCCTCGGGAATGACCCTCCTGGACCCTTCCTGAACTCTGGAATTCCCCAGGAATGACCCTCAGGAATGCAGGAATGGCCCTCCTGGATCCTTCCCAAACCTGGGAATTCCTCAGGAATGTGTGAATGGCCCCTCTGGAATGTGGGAACAAACCCCCCACAGCTTTTGGGGCTCCAAGGGGGGTTTTGGGGATTCCCCACCCCCAAATCCTAAACATTGCTAAAAAAGCAGGATTTGGGATTTTCCCGCCGGCTTCTCTCCCTGGCTGGGATCTCCCGTCTCCAAACCTCCTGGAAAACAACTCCCGATCCCAAAAATTGACCAAAACCCATTTATTTTTTACTGCAAACTCCCCGAGCGCCGCCCCGGGGGAGATGGGAAGGAGCAAAAATCCATGGAAAAATCCAGGAGAATCCCTAAAAACGGCCCGAAGGGAGCGGGAATGGCGCGGGGCAGAGCTGGGCTCTGCTCCTGAAGGCACCTCGAGATTCCAGCACAGTGACCTGGCACGGAGGGAACTGGGAATGCGGGAATTCCGGCTGATCCCGGGCCAAACCATCCGCCAGAAGGAAAAAACTCCGAATTCCCAGGAAAAAAATTCCTTTGGGACTCCCCTCGTGATCCCTGAGATGTCCCCGGGGTGGGCGAGGGCGGGGAGCCTGGGAATGCTGCTGGGATGGGATCCGGGAATGCTTCTGGGATGGGATCTGGGATCCCTGCGGATGCTGGAGGGGTGGGAGGGGGAAATCCCGAAAACTGTAGCACCCAGAGTAGGGAAAACCAGCAAAAAATGGGAATACTGGGGGGAAAAAATGGGAATATAGGGGGAAAACCAGGCATTGGCGGCTGCTCTTTAGGGATCCCAGATCCCTAAAGGGATCCTAAGCCGGGATCAGATCCCCAAAGTGATCCCGAGCCGGCAGCCGCGGAGATTCGGGGCTGGAAAAATGGAAAACAGTAAAAAAAAGCTGCGGAAAAATACAAATAAAATAAAAAATAATTCAAGGGCAGGCCCTACAAAACCCGGGGCGGGACGTGCCGGAAAGCCCGGCTGCGGTCGGGAATTCCTAAAGCCGGGAATGGGGGTGGGAATGACCCCCCCGAGGGCTGGGAGTGCGGGAAAGGGGAGGGAGCACGGCGGCCGGGATGGAGAAGCGGGAGCAGGATCGGGATTGGGATCGGGGCCCCTCAGAGGGTGCGGGGGTTGTACTCCGGCAGCTTCCGCAGCTTCTCCTGCTCCGCCTCCGACTCGTCCCGGGCGATCACCAGAGAGTGGGAATAGCCCATGGCCACCTGGAACGGGAACAGGAATGGGTCAGCTGGGAGTGGGAATAGCCCATGGCCACCTGGAACGGGAACAGGAATGGGTCAGCTGGGAGTGGGAATAGCCCGTGGCCACCTGGGAGTGGGAATAGCCCAAGGCCGCTTGGAATGGGAACAGTCAGCTGGGAGTAGGAATAGCCCGTGGCCACCTGGAACGGGAACAGGAATGGGTCAGCTGGGAGTGGGAATAGCCCAAGGGGACCTGGAATGGGAATGGGAACAGTCAGCTGGGAGTGGGAATAGCCCAAGGGGACCTGGAATGGGAATGGGAACAGTCAGCTGGGAGTGGGAATAGCCCAAGGGGACCTGGAATGGGAATGGGAACAGTCAGCTGGGAGTGGGAATAGCCCAAGGGGACCTGGAATGGGAATGGGAACAGTCAGCTGGGAGTGGGAATAGCCCAAGGGGACCTGGAATGGGAATGGGAACAGTCAGCTGGGAGTGGGAATAGCCCAAGGGGACCTGGAATGGGAATGGGAACAGTCAGCTGGGAGTGGGAATAGCCCAAGGGGACCTGGAATGGGAATGGGAACAGTCAGCTGGGAGTGGGAATAGCCCAAGGGGACCTGGAATGGGAATGGGAACAGTCAGCTGGGAGTGGGAATAGCCCAAGGGGACCTGGAATGGGAATGGGAACAGTCAGCTGGGAGTGGGAATAGCCCAAGGGGACCTGGAATGGGAATGGGAACAGTCAGCTGGGAGGGGGAATAGCCCATGGCCACCTGGAACGGGAATGGGTCAGCTGGGAATAGCCCATGGCCACCTGGAATGGGAATGGGCCAGCTGGAATAGGAATGGGCCAGCTGGAATAGGAATGGGCCAGCTGGGAGTGGGAATAGCCCAAGGCCACTTGGAATGGGAATGGGAACAGTCAGCTGGGAGTGGGAATAGCCCGTGGCCAACTGGAACGGGAATGGGCCAGCTGGAATAGGAATGGGCCAGCTGGGAGTGGGAATGCCCATGGAACTGGGAATGGGTCAGCTGGGAGTGGGAATGCCCATGGAACTGGGAATGGGTCAGCTGGGAGTGGGAATGCCCATGGAACTGGGAAGGGTCACCTGGGAGCAGACACTGCCCATGGAAAAGTAAACGGGGAGCTGAGGGGATCTGGAGCCTTCCTGGGGATCCCTCCTGGGGATCCTCCCACGTGCTGAGATCCAGGCTGGGCTGGAGCATCCCAAGGGAGTTTTAGGGAAGGGCCCTGCACCCCCTGCAGGGCACCCACGGGTGTCACAAGCTGGCACGGCCTCAGCCCCAGGATTTGTCCTCCCACATCACCCATGGGTGTGATGGGCTGGGCACAGCCTCAGTGTCCCTGTTTATTTTGGGGAATGGAACCCATTGTCATTGGCTGGGCACAGCCTCAGTGTCCCTGTTTATTTTGGGGAATGGAACCCATTGTCATTGGCTGGGCACAGCCTCAGTGTCCCTGTTTATTTTGGGGAATGGAACCCATTGTCATTGGCTGGGCACAGCCTCAGTGTCCCTGTTTATTTTGGAGAATGGATCCCAGAGTCATGAGTTGTGTATGGCCTCAGCCCCTGGGTTTATTTAAAGGGGGATTCATGCACATCGTCCATGGGTGTCGTGGGCTGTGTATGGCCTCAGTTTCCCTGTTTGTTTTAGGGGAGGGCCCCATGGATGTGATGAGTTGTGCACAACCTCAGTTTCCCCGTTTATTTTAGGGAACAGCCCCTGGTGTCCTGCCTCCATCACCCCACAGGTGTGATGAGCTGTGTACAGCCTCAGCTGCCCTGTTTATTTTAGGGGAGGGGCCCCATGCATGTCACGAGCTGGGCACGGCCTCAGTTTCCCTGTTTATTTTAGGGAACAGCTCCATGCGCCCTCTCCATGACCCCATGGATGTGATGAGTTGGGCACAGCCTCAGTTTCCCTGTTTATTTTAGGGAATAGCCTCAGTTTCCCTGTTTATTTTAGGGAATGGCCCCACGTGATCCCTCTCCATCACCCCACGGATGTCACGAGCTGGGCATGGCCTCAGCCCCTGGGTTTACCTAAGGGGAGGGTCCCCCCTCCCTCACCCCACAGGTGTGATGAGCTGGCCATGGCCTCAGCCACCCCAAATGATGTCCACCCCCTCACCCCACAGGTGGGATGAGCCCCCCTGTGCATCCCCCACCCCAAGCCCTGTGGGGTCCCCTCACCTGCTCGGTGTAGATCCCGTCCAGGGTTTTCACCTCCTGCGCCGCCGTGGACGATTTGGGTTTGTGGTCCCCATATCCCTGTGGGAACATCCCATGGACAGGGAACAGTCAGTGGGGTTTGGGGGATTTGGGATGTCCCTTTGGGGGATTTGGGTTTGTGGTCCCCATATCCCTGTGGGAACATCCCAAGGACAGGGAATGCTCAGTGGGGCCAGAGGGGCCAGGTCTCAGGGTTTGAGGGATTTGGGGTGTCCATCTTGGGTTCTCTGGTGGATTTGGGGTGACTGTCTGGGATTTTTGGGGTGTCATTTGGTACCAGCTCCCTGAAGGTGGGTGAGGGCCCCCAGCTGATGATGGGTTCGGGGTGTCAGTTTGGGGGATTTGGGTTTTTATTTGGGGTTTTTTGGGATGCTGTTTGGGGTTTTATTTGGGGTGTCATTTGGAGTTTTTGGGATGCTGTTTGGGGTTTTATTTGGGGTGTCATTTGGGGTTTTTGGGATGCTGTTTGGGGTTTTATTTGGGGTGTCATTCAGTACCAGCTCCCCGAAGGTGGGCGAGGGCCCCCAGCTGATGGTGCTCTCGTCGGCCGCCACGATGACGGAGCTCTTCCTGCAAGGGAGGCAATCCCTGATCCCTGAGTGTCCCAGCACTCCAAATCCCGGGATGGGGTGGGAATTCCCAGAGCTGCACTCACCCGCAGGCCAGGCTGCGGATCTTCCACCCACACAGATCCTGCACAGCCTTGGGGTACATGGTGGATTCCCGGGAGGTGTTGGTGGCGCCCCAGAAGAACAATCCACCTGCAAGGGAGCATGTCAGGGCACGGATCCCAGAATTCCCAAATCCTGGGAATCCCACCTGTCAGGGATCCCAGGAATCCCACCTGTCAGGGCCTGGATCCCAGAATTCCCAATCCCAGGAATCCCACCTGTCAGGGCCTGGATCCCCCAGAATTCTTGATCCTGGGAATCCCACCTGTCAGGGCACAGATCCCAGAATTCCCAAATCCTGGGAATTCCAACTGTCAGGGCACAGATTCCCCGGGATTCCCAATGCTGGGAATCCCACCCGTCGGGTAACAGCTTCCCCCAGCATTCCCAATTCCTGGGATCCCTGGGATCCCAGCTGTCAGGCCACGGCTCCCTGAGAATTCCCAGATCCTGGGATCTCAAGATTCCCACCTGTCTTGGCTCTCCTGCAGCATTCCCAAATCCCACCTGTCAGGTCACAGCTCCCCCAGCATTCCCAGACCTCAAGATCCTAGGAATCCCACAGCCTGCCCAGCATTCCCAAATCCTGGGATCCTGGGAATCCCACCTCCCCCACTGACAGCTGTCCCCCAGCATTCCCAAATCCCAGATCCTGCATTCCCACCTGTCCCGCTGCCATCTCCCCCAGCATTCCCAAATCCCGAATCCCAGGTTCCCACCTGTCTTGCTGAAGGCTCCCCTAGCATTCCAAAATGCTGGGATCTTGCATTCCCACCTGTCCCGCTGCAATCTCCCCCAGCATTCCCAAATCCCAGATCCTGCATTCCCACCTGTCCCGCTGCCATCCCCCCCGGCATTCCCGAATCCCGTACCCCACCTGTCTCGCTGACGGCGAAGGAGCAGGTGTATCCCGCGTAGATCTGGGCGGCGCCGCGTCCCGGGAAGTCGAAGAGCTTCACCAGCCTGGGAACCATCTCGTCCTTCTGCTCCGCGTGGCCCAGGCGCCCGTAGCCCCCAAAGCCCCAGGAGAACACGCGCTTCTGGGAATCCAGCACCAGCTGGGAGAGAGGGAGCAGGGCCTCAGAGATCCCAGATCCCAAACCTCAAATCCCAAATCCCAAATCCCAGATCCCAGGAAAAGACACGCTTCTGGGAATCCAGCACCAGCTGGGAGAGAGGGAGCAGGGCCTCAGAGATCCCAGATCTCAGATCCCAAACCTCAAATCCCAGATCCCAGGAAAAGACACGCTTCTGGGAATCCAGCACCAGCTGGGAGAGAGGGAGCAGGGCCTCAGAGATCCCAGATCCCAAATCCCAAACCCCAAATCTCCAGGAGAACATGTGCTTCTGGGAGTCCAGCACCAGCTGGGACAGGGGAAAACAGCCTCAGAGACCCCAAATCCCCAATCCCAAACCCTAAATCCCAGGAAAAGACCATTCCTGCCCAGGAAAAGACATGCTTCTGAGAATCCAGCACCAACTGGGAGAGAGGGAGCAGGGCCTCAGAGATCCCAGATCCCAAATCCCAAACCCCAAACCCCCAGGAGAACATGTGCTTCAGAGACCCCAAATCCCCAATCCCAAGCCCTAAATCCCAGAAAAAGACCATTCCTGGGAATCCAGCAGCACCTGGGAGACAGGGAGCAAGGCCTCGGAGATCCCAAATCCCAAACCCCAAATCCCTAGGAGAAGCTGCACTTCTGGGAATCCAGCACCAGCTGGGATGGGGGAAAACAGCCTCAGAGACCCCAAATCCCAAACACCAAAAAAAGACACACTACTGGGAATGCAGCCTCAGAGGGGATGGGAGGAGCAGAGGCTGAGAGCTGGTGTCTCCTGTTCCCGTCCATTCCTCCTCTGCCATTCCCATTCCTGCTCTCCCATTCCCATTCTCTCATTCCTGCACCCATTCCCATTCCCATTCCTGATCCCATTCCATACTGTGTGGTTGGCCCTGCAGGCCACATCCCTGATCCATCCCCATTATCCTGATCCCATATTCCCATGTCCCATACCAGGTGGTTGGCCCGGCAGGCCCCATCCCTGACCCATTCCTGTTTTCTCGATCCCATTATCCCACATTCCCATATTCCCATGTCCCATAACATGTGGTTGGCCCCACAGGCCATGCCCCTGACCCATTCCCATTATCCTGATCCCATATTCCCAATCGCATATTCCCATTATCCCATACTCCTGTGTCCCGTACTGTGTGGCTGGCCCCACAGGCCCCATCCCTGACCCATTCCTGTTTTCTCGATCCCATTATCCCACATTCCCATATTCCCATGTCCCATACCAGGTGGTTGGCCCGGCAGGCCCCATCCCTGACCCATTCCTGTTTTCTCGATCCCATTATCCCACATTCCCATATTCCCATGTCCCATACCATGTGGCTGGCCCCACAGGCCCCGGCCCTGACCCAATTCCATTATCCCAATCCCACATTCCCATGTCCCGTCCCATGTGGCTGGCCCCACAGGCCCCGGCCCTGACCCAATTCCATTATCCCAATCCCACATTCCCATGTCCCGTCCCATGTGGCTGGCCCCACAGGCCCTGTCCCTGACCCAATTCCATTATCCCAATCCCACATTCCCATGTCCCATACCATGTGGCTGGCCCCGCAGGCCCCATCCCTGACCCCCTCCCATTATCCCAATCCCACATTCCCGTGTTCTGTACCATGTGGCTGGCCCCACAGGCCCCATCCCTGACCCACTCCCATTATCCCAATCCCAATTCCCGTGTTCTGTACCATGTGGCTGGCCCCGCAGACCTCATCCCTGACCCACTCCCATTATCCCAATCCCACATTCCCGTGTTCTGTACCATGTGGCTGGCCCCGCAGACCCCATCCCTGACCCACTCCCATTATCTCAATCCCATTATCTCATATTCCCATGGCCCGTACCGTGTGGTTGGCCCCACAGGCCATGTTCCTGACCCATTCCCATTATCCTGGTCCCATATTCCCAATCGCATATTCCCATTATCCCATACTCCTGTGTCCCGTACCATGTGGCTGGCCCCGCAGACCCCATCCTTGACCCACTCCCATTATCCCAATCCCACATTCCCGTGTTCTGTACCATGTGGCTGGCCCCGCAGACCCCATCCCTGACCCACTCCCATTATCCCAATCCCACATTCCCGTGTTCTGTACCATGTGGCTGGCCCCGCAGACCCCGTCCCTGACCCCCTCCCATTATCCCGATCCCATTATCTCACATTCCCGTGTCCCGTACCGTGTGGTTGGCCCCGCAGGCCACGTCCCTGACCACGACGTTGGGCACGGGCAGCACCTGGCCGTCCTTGGTGCGCTCCACGAAGAGCGCCACGCGCCGCGGCAGCAGCTCGCAGTCGTACTCGATGCGCTGCGCCCGCGCGATGAACTTCCCGTCGGAATTGTGGCCTGCAACGGGAACGGGGCACGGCCAGCCTGAGCATCCTGCGGGGTCATCCCGAACTGCCCCGGTCCCATGGGATCATCCTGAACTGCCCCTGTCCCATGGGATCATCCCGAACTGCCCCTGTCCCATGGGATCATCCTGAACTGCCCCGGTCCCATGGGATCATCCTGAACTGCCCCTGTCCCATGGGATCATCCCGAACTGCCCCAATCCCGTGCCATCATCCTGAACTGCCCCGTCCTGCGGGGTCACCCCGAACCACCCTGATCCTGTGGGGTCATCCGGAACTGCTCTGATTCCATGGGATCATCTGGAATTGCCCCATCCCACAGGGTGATCCCAAACTGCCCCCACCCCCCAGGATCATCCCAAACTGCCCCCATCCCACAAAGTGATCCCAAACCAGCCCATATCCCATGGGATGATCCCAAATCCCGTACCCAGCTGGCCGTACTCGGGGCACCCGAAGGAATACAGGTTCCCACAGGGTGATCCCATTCCCATGGGATGATCCCAAATCCCATTCCCATGGGGTGACCCCATAGATCCCAAATCCCGTACCCAGCTGGCCGTACTCGGGGCACCCGAAGGAATACAGGTTCCCCTTGCAGTCCATGACCATGCTGAACTCGGCCCCGCAGCCCAGCTTGGAGATCGGCTGCCCGTTGTACAGGATCTGTGAAAAACCAGGAATAGGGTCAGGAAATCCGGGAAAAAGGGAAAACGGGGTAAGAAAATCCAGGAAAATAGGATCAGAAACATGGGAGAAGGGGAAAAATGGGGATCAGAGGCACAGGAAAAGCCAGAAAAATGGGATCAGAAAAGCCAGGAAAAATGGGAATCAGAGACACAGGAAAAGCCAGAAAAATGGGATCAGAAAAACTGGGAAAAATGGGGAATTTCCACGCGAAATCCCTGATTGTCAGGAAAAATGGGACCAAGGACATGGGAAGAGCTGGTAAAAAGGGATCAGGAAAACACGGGAAAAGCAGGAAAAATAGAATTGGAGAAACGTGGGAAGAGGGAAAAGAGGGGAATTTCCATGGGAAATCCTTCATCTGTGGGAAAAGCAGGAAAACAGGATTGAAAAATTTTGGAACAGGAAAAACCAGATCAGAAATGCAGGAGAAGTTTAAAAACAGGATCAGAAATGTGGGGAAAAGGTGAAAAAAATGAATTTCCAGGGGAAATTCCTGATCTGTAGGAAACCTGGAAAAACAGGATTGAAAAAACACAGGAAAAGCAGGAGAAAACAATCAAAAAACACAGGAAAAGGGAAAACTGAAGAATTTCCATGGGAAATCTGTAAGAAAAGCAAAAAAATTTGGATTGAAAAAATTCAAGAAAAGAGAAAAAAGGGGAATTTTCCACAGGAAATCCCTGACCTGCAGGAAAAGCTGGAAAAACAGGATAAAAAAATTTGGGAAACAGGAAAAAAAAAGCAACTTCCATCAGAAAATCCCTAAAATCTTCAAAAATTCCACTTCCAAATCCTAGCTTTTCCTCTCCCCACCGCAGCTGGGAACAGCTCCCGGCTGAGAGGGAATTGCACACCCCGAGGGGTTTTTAGCGAATTTGTCACTAAAAGCCCCAAAACCCCCAGATTTCCCCCAAATCCCGGGTTTGGGGTCCGTACCTGGGTGGGGCTGGGCACGGCGTCTGTCTGGTTCCCCAGCCCCAGCTGGCCCAGCTTGTTCTCCCCGAAGGCGAACACCGAGCCACTCTCTGCGGGGAAAATGGGAATTTTGGGGGGAAAACCGGGATTTTGGGACCATTCTCCCAGAATTCGCGGGCAAAGGGGGCAGATTTGGGGGGAAAAGGGGCAGATTTTGAAGGAAAAGGGGTGGATTTGGGGGCAAAAGGGGAAGACTTTGGGGCAGGTTTCCCAGAATTTGGGGCAAAAGGAGCAGATTTAGGGGCAATTTTCCCAAATTTTTGGGAAAAAGGGGTGGATTTGGGACAAAAAGGGTGGATTTTGGGGGTGAAAGGGGTGGATTTGGGGCAGTTTTCCCAGGATTTTGGGGGTGAAAGGGGTGCATTTGGGGCAGCTTTCAGATCAGGGCAGTTTCCTGGGACTGGGCAGTTTGCTGGGATGGGGCCGTTTTGCAGGATCAGGCCGTTTCCCAGGATCCAGGGCCATTTCCCAGGATTAGCCCTGTTTCCTGGGATCCAAGACCATTTCCCAGGATCAGCCCTGTTTCCTGGGATCCAAGGCCATTTCCCAGGATCAGCCCCGTTTCCCAGGATCAGCCCCGTTCCCCAGGATCCAGAGCCATTTCCGGATCCAGCCCCGTGTCCCGGGATGCGGCGTGTCCCGTGTCTCCGTACCGGTCAGTGCCAGGGTGTGGTTCCTGCCGCAGGCGGCCGCCACGATGGCCTCGCCGCCCAGCGCCTCGATCGGCCGCGGCGCCTCCACGCGCTTCGTGTCGCCATGGCCCAGCTGCCCCTTCTCGTTCCGCCCTGCGGGATCCCAAAAATCCCGGAGTCACAGGGGCTCACAGCTGATCCCAGAATCCCAGGGGTTTCCTCTGATCTCGTTATCCCAGGGCTTCCCGCTGATCCCACTATCCCGGGGTTCCCAATGATCCCCCCCTCTCAGGGGGAGTTCTTGAGATGGATCCCACTGTCCCACAGGGGTGCCCAGGATGGATCCCATTATCCCAGTTTGGTTCCCAGGTGGATCCCGGTTTGGTTCCCAAGATGGATCCGGCTCTCCCGGCTGGGTTCCCAGGATGGATTCCTGCTATCCCAAGGGGTTCCCAGGATGGATCCTGCTCTCCCAGCCCGGTTCCTGGGATGGATTCTGCTCTCACAGGGGGGTTCCCGGGATAGATCCTGCTATCCCAGTTTGGTTCCTGGGCTGATCCCACTCTCTCAGGGGGGTTCCCAGGATGGATCCCGTTATCCCAGCCCCATTCCCTGGATGGATCCCGCTCTCCCAGCTGTGTTCCCAGGATGGAGCCTGCTCTCCCAGGAGGTTCCCACGACAGATCCCATTATCACAGCCCAGTTCCTGGGATGGATCCTGCTCTCCCAGGGGGGTTCCTGGGATGGATCCTGCTCTCCCAGCTGGATTCCCGGGATAGATCCTGCTCTCCTGGGGTGTGTTCCCGGGATGGATCCCGCCCTCCCAGGGGGTTCCCGGGATGGAGCCCACTCTCCCAGATGGGTTCCCAGGACGGATCCCATTATCACAGCCCAGTTCCTGGGATGGATCCTGCTCTCCCAGCTGGGTTCCCGGGATGGAGCCCGCTCTCCCAGGGGGTTCCCGGGATGGAGCCCGCTCTCCCAGGGGGGTCCCGGGATGGATCCTGCTCTCCCAGGGGGTTCCAGGGCTGGATCCCGCTCTCCCGGCTGGGTTCCCGGGATGGAGCCCGCTCTCCCGGCTGGGTTCCCAGGATGGAGCCCGCTCTCCCAGGAGGTTCCCAGGACAGATCCCATTATCACAGCCCAGTTCCTGGGATGGATCCTGCTCTCCCAGGGGGGTTCCTGGGATGGATCCTGCTCTCCCAGCTGGATTCCCGGGATAGATCCTGCTCTCCTGGGGTGTGTTCCCGGGATGGATCCCGCCCTCCCAGGGGGTTCCCGGGATGGAGCCCACTCTCCCAGATGGGTTCCCAGGACGGATCCCATTATCACAGCCCAGTTCCTGGGATGGATCCTGCTCTCCCAGGGGGTTCCCGGGATGGAGCCCGCTCTCCCCGGGGGTTCCCGGGATGGAGCCCGCTCTCCCAGGGGGGTCCCGGGATGGATCCTGCTCTCCCAGGGGGGTTCCCGGGAAGGCTCCTGCTCTCCTGGGGGGGGTTCCCAGGATGGAGCCCGCTATCCCAGCTGGGTTCCCGGGATGGATCCCGCTCTCCCAGGGGGTTCCTGGGATGGATCCTGCTCTCCCAGGGGGTTCCCGGGATGGAGCCCGCTCTCCCAGGGGGTTCCTGGGATGGATCCTGCTCTCCCGGCTGGGTTCCCGGGATGGATCCCCGCTCACCCCAGCTCCAGAGCTTGCCCTCGGCCGTGATCAGCAGGCTGTGCGCGGCGCAGGGCCCCGACACCACCGAGCGCACGCGCAGCCCCCCCAGGCTCCCGTAGCGGTGCGGCCCCCACAGGTTCTGGCCCAGGTTCCGGTACGCCGCTGGAAAACACCGGGAACGAGCGCGGGGTCAGCACCGGGAAACGCAGCTGGGAAAAGAACGAGCTGGGAAAAGCAGCCGGGAAAAGAGTACGGGAAATTCATCCAGGAAAATCATCCAAAAAATCATCTCAGAAAATCCAGGAAAATAATCTGGAAAAATCTGGGAAAATCAGCCAGGAAAATCATCTGGGAATACTGGGAAAATAATCTGGGAAAATCCAGGAAAAATTCAGGAAAATCATCTGAGAAAATCCAGGAACATCTGGGAAAATCATCCAGGAAAATCCAGAAAATTTCAGGAAAATAATCCAGGAAAATCAACCAGGAAAATCATCTGGAATACTAGGAAAATCCAGGAAAATCATCCTGGAAAATCACCTGGGAAATCTGGGAATAGTGGGAAAACAATCCAGGAAAACAATCCAGGAAAATCATCCGGGATTCCGCAGGGCAGGGGCTGAGGGCGGATTTGGGGACAGAGCCGGGAAAGGGGGAACCACAGACAGGGGAGGGGCACAGCAGGGCTGGGCCACCCCAACCCTGCCCCAATGAGCGTGTCCAGCCCTGGCTGCTGCCCCAATTAACGAGTTATTAATTAATGAACCAATGCCACTGAGAGCAGGCGTGTTAATGAACTTTCCATGCACCCCTAATATGCAGGGGCTCCATAGCAGAGCTGGCGCCCCCCAAATTCTGGCCCAAATTAAAACCTAAAACTGTAACTCCTCCTCCAGCTTGTTAATTTTAAACATTAATTAATGTAAATACTAATTTTTAATATTAATTAAATATATCCCCTTAAAAGAAGGAAATCATTAATGAACTAAAAATGAAGCAGAGGCTTAATTTGGCTTTACAACAGAGCTGGCGCCCCTCAAACCTGCCCCAATTAAGGGGTGCAACTGTGGCTCCTCCCCCAGTAATTAATGAAAATGATTAATTAGGAATAGATAATCAGGAAAATGAATGAACTATAAAAACATTCCCAGTAAACAGAGTCTTTTTGCTTTGCCACAGGTCTGGTGTATTAAACTGTGTTAAATTAATGTACCAAACTGTGGCTCCTCCCCAATTTGCCACCTTTAAAATTAATTAGATGTTAAGATTAATTAAATATAAACACATGAAAAGAAGATCAACTGATAGACTATAAATGCATCCAAAATAAGCAAAGTCTTAATTTGGCTTTGCAGCAGAGCTGGTGGCCCCTCAAACCTGCCCTAATTAAGGGGTGAAACTGAGGCTCCTCCTCCAGTTAACTGATTGATTAACTAATTAGAACTACATAAAAACAATCAGCAAAATTAACAAACTATAAATGCATCAGAACCAAACAAAGCCCTAATGTGGCTCCGCTGGACACCCAGTGCACCCCAAATTCTGGCCGGAGTACGAGATGCCACTCCAGGTCATTAATTACAAATTAACACCAATTAATCACACTGCCACTAATGGGGGCCCTGCTCTGCCCCAATACATAATTAATAGCAATAATCACCCCTTAATGATCCCCTACCCTGTCCCAAAGCCTTCATTGATTACTAATTAATACCAATTAATCCCAAAACATTAATTAAGAATTAATTAATTAAGAATTAATACAAATTAATTAACAGACATTAGTGAGCCCCTATCCTGCCCCAAGCCCTTCATTGATTACTAATTAATACCAATTAATTAATCAGCTATTAAGGACCTCTACCCTGTCCCAAAACATTAATTACTAATTAACCTCAAATCAATACTAATTAATCACAGCCATTAATAAGCCCCTACCCTGCCCCACACCATTCATTGATTACTAATTAATACTAACTAATTAACAAGCCATTAATGAGCCCCTACCCTGCCCAAAGCCTTAGTTACTAATTAACAGCAGGTAATTAAGCAACCCTACCCTGCCCCACATGGTTCATTAATGACTAATTAACCAGTTAATTAGCCAGCCCTACCCTGCCCCACACCACTCATTAATGACTAATTAACCAGTTAATTAGCAGCCCTACCCTGCTGCTTGGGCACCTCCTTGCGGCCAATCAGGTCCCAGTTGGTGGCACCGAAGATCAGGAGCTGCCCCCGGCTCTTGGAGCCCTCGAGCTTCTGTGGGGACATGGGGACATCAGGGACATGGGGGGACACAGGGACATCAGGGACATGGGAGGATATGGAGGACTTCAGGGGTGAGTGGGATACTGGGGACATTGGGGACATCAGAGCTGTAGGGGACACAGGGGACATTGTGGGACATCAGGGATGTGGGGGACATGGGGGATACTGGGGACATCGTGGGGGATATTGGGGACATCAGGGATGTGGGGACCTGGGGGCATCAGGGCTGTGGAGATCATCAGGGATGTGGGGAACATGGGGACATCGTGGGACACTGGGGATTTGAGGGACACAGGACATCGGGGACATTGGGGATGGGACACGGGATGGGAGGGACACAGGACACTGGGGATGGGACATGGGATGGGAGGGACACAGGACACTGGGGATGGGACACGGGATGGGAGGGACACAGGACATTGGGGATGGGACACGGGATGGGAGGGACACAGGACATTGGGGATGGGACACGAGATGGGAGGGACACAGGACATTGGGGACACTGGGGATGGGACACGGGATGGGAGGGACACAGGACATTGGGGATGGGACATGGGATGGGAGGGACACAGGACATTGGGGATGGGACACGGGATGGGAGGGACACAGGACATTGGGGATGGGACACGAGATGGGAGGGACACAGGACATTGGGGACACTGGGGATGGGACACGGGATGGGAGGGACACAGGACATTGGGGATGGGACACGGGATGGGAGGGACACAGGACATTGGGGACACTGGGGATGGGACACAAGATGGGAGGGACACAGGACATTGGGGATGGGACACAGGATGGGAGCGACACAGGACATTGGGGACACTGGGGATGGGAGAGACATGGGACACCGGGGACATTAGGAAAGGGGGGAAGATGTGCGGAATGTGAGGGACCTTGGGGTCATCTGGGACAAGGACGTGGGGACAGAAGGAGCAGTGGGGACAAGGAGGACATGGGGGACATTGGGGCTGTGGGGGACACTGGCGACAGAGCCAGCAGGGATACGGGGACAGCAGGGACATGGGGGCAATGACAAGGTGCTGGAAGGGCTGCAGTGGGGCAGGATGGGGGTCAAGGGGTGCAGTGGGGTTTGGGGTGCAGTGGGCTGGAATTTGGGGTGCAGTGGGGTGGGGTGGGGGTCAGGGGGTGCAGTGGGGTTTGGGGTAGAACAGTAGGTACAAGGGGCTACAGTGGGGGTGTGTAATGGGACACAATGGGGACACTGGGGATGTGCAATGGGGGACAGTAGGCACACAGTGGGGGTGTCTCACGGGACACAACGGGGACACAGTGGGGGTGTGTAATGGGACACAATGGGGACACACTGGGGGTGTGTAATGGGGGACAGTAGGCGCACAGTGGGGGTGTCTCATGGGGCACAATAGGGGCACAGGAGGTCCAAAGGGTGCAGTGGGGTGTGTAATGGAGCACAGTAGGCGCACAGTGGGGGTGTCTCATGGGGCACAGTGTGTATGTGCAGTGGGGCACAACGGGGGCACAGTGGGGGTGTCTCATGGGACACAATGGGGACACAGTGGGGGTGTGTAATGGGGCACAGTAGGCACACAGTGGGGGTGTCTCATGGGGCACAATGCGGGTGTATAATGGGGCACGGGGGGTACACCAGGGTCCCAGGGTTGCCGCCGCCCTCCTCCCCGAGCTCACGATGCGCTCCTTGCTGTGCTCGGGCTCGCAGATCACCACGCTCTGCCCGCGGGCCCCGGGGCCTCCGGGCCCCGCC